GGTTCTTTCCTCGTTGTCTCAATTTATACATTTTTAATTATGAAATAATCATTCTGTGATAAGCCGTCTTTTAGTGAGGTGCCGTTTTTTGTGTAATAAGCACAATACATTTTCATCTATAAGTATTCATTAAAAATGTGTTTTGGATTATTTTACCCCAACTTTGACTAACGTAATTTACTTCCCAAAGTGTGCATTAATCGATTGAGAGCAAGCATTTATAGTTTTTCACCATAGTATTTATTCCCTTTCCAGTCAAGTTACAGGAACGGAAGGATGAATTTTATTGGAAGAAACGTCGTCCAGTAACGTCAGATTATTGCGGCAGCAAATGCGATATCCGAGTCATTTGAAGGCGTTCGTGGAAAGTTTATATTCGAGTTCGAAAAGCTAAAAAACAGAATTAGAAAAAAGAACACATCCACATATTTTTATTTACAAATATTGAATACAAAAAATCTATTATGGTGTGAACAAACTTTCGTTGAAAAATATATTCGAGGGATAGGGGCATTTTCAGGTATATGCTAAATCACATATGGACAATGGCCAAATGCTCATATTGATTTCCAAGGGTCTCTAAAGACGCTTCGGCCAATTTTGCATGAGACTGTGACGTCCTGTTCAATTCGCAAGCTAAAATGGAAATGCCCAAGACGTATCGATTCCTTTGTCACTTATCCTCGACTGGACAAAGAATACCGACCGACGATTTTTCATTCCTTATTTTCCCCTCGATAAAATGATAATCCTTTCGCTAGCGAACTGAAAGTGGAATATATGTTAATTTGAAAAGGCATTTTTCGACGTATGTTAAGTTGAAAACATGTGCATAGTTTGGGAGAACAAAATAAACATTCAAAGCCTTTTTATTTTGCGTGTTCTGTATAGCTGTCTTTTTTATATACATCCCCCTAAAGCAACCCCTCAATGGAATTTCTCTTTTATTGCGACTCCCACATTTAAACACTTTTGTGGAAAAATTATAACAAATGCACGCAAATGTATATTAAAAATGCGGTACATTGAACTTAACTGAAAACGTAGGTAGGCTCATTTAAGTTTTAACAATAAAAAAAGTAGCTCCACTTACTTCGCCGAGTCATAGAGTTTTCTACGCAAATATCAAATGATGGTGAAGATTCGAACAAATTCTCCACACATTATTTTTAGCGCATTTTTGCAAAAAATTTTTTTTGTAAAAAGTAGCTTTTAATCTCACTTTGGCTGGCTGGCTGGCTGGCTGGCTGGCAGCAAATGTGGGCGCGTAGAAGAACTCTTGTAGAAAGGCAACGGATGTACGTGTATCTACAGGGCCGTGAAATTTGTCAACCTTAGGGACATGGCTACATGATGTGGGGTTGGCGACATCTGGGCGTCATCCTCGAGCGTAGTATACTAACGTGAAGGTTTTTCAGTTTTTTCCTATCTTCTACTACAGTTTTGGTCCGATTCTTTTGAAATTGGTGTCGTCGGAAAGATGTTGTAAACGCGCACAACTCCTGCGTGGCGGAATTTTGTTTTTTGTCATAGGGGCGAAATTAACGACCTTTTGCGAGGCGCGCGCGCGCGTCTTCGAGAAGTAGTCAGGCGCCTTTTACCTTCCGTTGCGAACTCACGCGGTTTAACGTTTCGTGAATCTCGAATCGCTGTCTCTCTTTCTCGTGTCGCCAATAGAAGTGAATTGCGAGTGAACGGGACGTCGGAAGTGGGTACCGTAAAAGAGAATGTGGTAGCCCGCGACACGATCTCACTGATGGTGGAGTCAAATCTTCAATCGCGAATTGCGGGTGAACGGGACGTCGGAAGGGGGTACCGTCAAAGGAAATGTGGTAGCCCCCGACACGATCTTCCTGATGGTGGAGGCAAATCTTCAAACGCGAATTGCGGGTGAACGGGACGTCGGAAGTGGGTACCGTAAAAGGGAATGTGGTAGCCCGCGACACGATCTCACTGATGGTGGAGTAAAATCTTCAATCGCGAATTGCGGGTGAACGGGACGTCGGAAGGGGGTACCGTCAAAGGAAATGTGGTAGCCCCCGACACGATCTTCCTGATGGTGGAGTCAAATCTTCAAACGCGAATTGCGAGTGAACGGGACGTCGGAAGTGGGTACCGTAAAAGAGAATGTGGTAGCCCGCGACACGATCTCGCTGATGGTGGAGTCAAATCTTCAAACGCGAATTGCGGGTAAACGGGACGTCGGAAGGGTGTACCGTCAAAGGGAATGTGGTAGCCCCGACACGATCTTCCTAATGGTGGAGTCAAATCTTCAAACGCGAATTGCGGGTGAACGGAACGTCGGAAGTGGGTACCGTCAAAGGGAATGTGGTAGCCCCCGACACGATCTTACTGCGATGGTGGAGTCAAATCTTCAAAAGCGAATTGCGGGTGCACGCGGAAAGTGGGAAGCGGTTAGTTAATGTAGTAGCCTTCGACAAGATCTGTTATTGATGGTTGAGTCGAAAGTGGCTAATAGAATACTGATCTGCCACACAAAAATGCGCTGAAGTCCCTTCGATCTCAAACGAGGACTTTGATAATTTTTTTTCCTAATTATGTATCCACTCAAAGTTATACGAGGATAAGGTGAAAAGTTCTCGGCCTTACCAAGAGATAGCAATCCAATCGAAGAAAGTTGTAGTTTCGTACCTGCGCCCGTATGTTATTAGTTCGTATGACAAGTTTCAACTTGTTCGCTCAAGTAGTGTGTGTAAACGAGTCTTTGATTTGTTAAAATGGATAAACTGGAATATCGCGCGGTCATAAAATTCTTCGTTTAGGATGGGTTAACCCCTACGCAAATTCATTCAAAGTTGACAAAAGTTTACAGGAACTCTGCTCCTTTAATGTCAACCGTAAAAAAGTGGGCAGCTGAATTTAAACATGGTCGCACGTCGCTCGAAGATGAACCACGGTGAAGGACGGCCAAAAACTGCAACCACACCGGAAAAAATAGAAAAGGTGGACAATATCGTGTTGGATGATAGGCGAGTAAAGGTGTGTGAAATAGCTGAGGCCGTGAGCATATCGGAAGAAAGAGTGCGGAATATCTTGCACCAAGAATTAGGAATACGAAAGCTCTGTGCAAGGTGGGTGCCGCATTTGCTGAATGCGGATCAAAAGCAGTTGCGCAACCGACATTCGCAGCAATGTTTTAGCGATTTAAAAAGAATCTGACCGCAAATCACTATAAAATGGGACCTTCAAAGCCGCTCTCACTCTCCTCCCGCCTTTAGCACAACCGGTAGTCGGGGGGACTTTACTTTATGTTGATTAGGGAAACGTCCCTTACACAATTCTGAAGGAACTGGTAATATATGAATTAGTTCCTCTATTTTTCCTATTCTGACTGGGCTAATACTCCAGCCTTAGAAAACATTTTTTCCATAGCAACACATTTTTTTTGCTATAAATGGGTTCTACTCACTTTATTAATACATAGGTACAGCGCTTTTCAAAAAATCAAAAAAAATTATTAGGTACTTAATTGATTTAAGAGGCAATTTCTCATCGCTAACAGCGAGAGCACAGATAAGGGTATTTTATCTGTAAGCGAGAGGCTGGAAGACGTACCATGCAACAAAACTGTTTATTCTGAGTTCTAACACCATACACCATGTTCTGACGTCAGTAGCGCGCTATGTGTGGTGTCGCACTATGCGGTTTTACCGCTCCTGCTAAAGCGGATACGGTTTGACAGGACGACTACTTGCGTTTTAGCAGAAGCAGTGCAAACGCATAGTGTGACACCACACTTACGGATACATGATAATATGATCATCACCGCTAATAAAAAAATGAAAATTCAATTTTTTTACATTAGTTATTACAGGACGTTACCACTACAGTGACTTTATAGAGACAGTGGCGACAACAGGGTATCTCGTTTTTGATTGGTCGTTGGTTCCGGTCGCCATATTGGAGCTAAATTCCAAACTGGCCAATAGAAAACCTTCAAAACGACGCGGTGGACTCCGTGCTATAATTATTAATTATACTGTTTTGACAGTGTCACCTGTAATTGTCACGGCTTCATGTTACTAGTTTACACTTTGCTTCTTGTATTTGCTTTATTTTACGTTTTCCGTCTCCAGTTTTATATAAACTCGATTTTTAAAGACGCATACATATAGTTTGGATTTATTACGATATTATAAGGTATGTAATTCGCTTAGTGTTTTTAGATGTAAAACTGTGCCTAACCTTACGACTGGTAATTGATGTAAAATTTTTTCAGAAGCCCTAAATACCTAATGAGTTTAGATAGAAAACTGGTTAGAGAAGCAGCTTATCCGAAATTTAGCAGCAAATTCAATTGTGATCGTAAATACGTTTGAATTGGTTTCATGTTTGCTGGAGCACATGGAATATTGATCTCTTGTACTCCGTGGACTAGATCAACGTGTTTTGTCTTCCATTTAAGAGACTAAAGAAATACTTTTAAGTCCGGAAGGAGCAACACGCGACAGGGGACAAGAAGTGACAGAAGACACTGAAATGTCAAACACAATTTAATGATTATTTATATGTACATTTTGGATATTGCACCATATTTCATACTTATTATACTGTTTTCCATATACCCATACCTTTTTGAATTTGGGAGGCATTTGTTTTCCCATAGGTTGTTCTGCAAAGCTTTAAACGATCATTTCTGCGCCGTTCGTTTTGAACAAGAATCTTTACTTAAATGAAACTGACATTTATTATTCTACGCTCACAATTTGACATGACAAGGTATATTGATCTTACAATCAATTTTTTAGCTCCAATATGGCGGATTATGATAAGTTGTCGCCACTGTCCTTATAAAGTCACTGTAGTTACCACCACTCACCAAAACGGGAACTTTCCAACTTGTTTTCTAAGTCTGTCTAAAGCTGTAAGTATCGAAAGATATTTTGCAAAAAACATTAATTGATGTAAAACTGTTATCGTTACACCATTTCTATCATATTTATAAATACAATGCCTGTATGTATATATTAACAAATAGGTTATAGAATTAATTCTTGTTACTTTCTTAAACATGGTTTATTACATATAAAAATTTACATTTCACGAAGTGTTTTTCCAATAATATTAACAGCATCTTCCACTTGTTCTTGAGTAATAACAAGTGGAGGTGAAAATCTTATAATATCTCCATGAGTGTATTTTGCAAGTAATCCGTTATTCAATAACCTTAAGCAAACATCCTCAGCTTTCACCTCTAAAATGTAGAGAATGATTGTCTACCTAACAGCTAGTGTTACTTCAAACGTACCTTTGTTTATAACGATTGCATTTAAAAGACCTCTTCCTCTTACTTTTGTTATTAGTTGTGAATTCAACTTTTCTACACCTTTTCTAAAATGCTCTCCCATTTTAAAAGAGTTTTCAATAACACCTTCAGTTTCTAGTACCTCAAGTGCGGTAATAGCCACTTTCGATCCCAGAGGGTTTCCTCCAAACGTGGAACCATGTGTGCCTGTAAGTACATAGTAGTGTTACAGTGCGCTTAGTCGATCATGCAATTAGATTGAAGTTTATTAACAAAGTGACGGGAGACGTACCAGGTTCCATAACCAACATGATGTCATCGTTAGCTAAACATGCAGAAACGGGATACACGCCGCCTCCAAGTGCTTTTCCAAGGACTAATATATCAGGTTTAACATTTTCGTAATCAGCTGCTAACCTTTTGCCCGTTCGTCCCAAGCCCGTTTGAATTTCATCAGAAATCCATATAACATTATATTTAGTACATAATTCTCTAACGCCCTTTAGGTATCCGTCTGATGGTACAACGACACCTGCCTCACCTTGGATAGGCTCAACCATAAACGCACATACATTGGGATCTTTGAACGCCGTCTGGAAGTATCATCGTAACACGTGCTGTATGTCACAATAATGGTTAAGTACCTCTAGAGACTTTAAATCATCATATGGAACAATTTCAAAACCTGGCATGTAAGGACCATAACCCTCATAACTTTCTGGATCAGTTGATGCAGATATCGCCGATAACGATCGACCCCAGAAGTTACCACTGGCGAAGATCATTTTCGCCTTATTCTTTGGTATATTCTTTTTGTAATAGCCCCATTTTCGTGACAACTTGCATGCGGTTTCATCTGCCTCGACCCCTAGAGGAAAAAATGAAAATGCGCGCTTTGGTAGGTTTTAACACACCTGTATTCATCGGTAAAACTTTATCGTAACCAAACAGTTTAGTTACAATTTTGGCGTATTCTCCGAACGCGTCGGAATAAAACGCTCTGGATGTATGATGAAGGACACCGGCTTGTTTCTTTAACGCTTCCACAATTTTGGGATGGCAATGACCAAAATTGTTGGCGGAGTATCCACTTAAAAAGTCGTAGTACCTTTTCCCTTCGACATCCCAAACGAAAACTCCTGAATTGGTTTTGTTTTTATTAAATTTGGAAACCCACCTAACTCACCTTCTCCTTTTGTTAAGGCAGCGGGTAATGGATGATAGTTATGGGCGGAATATTTAGCTTCTCTCTCGAGGACTTCTTTTGTCGTTAACTTTCTTATTTGGTTAATACTGACCCTTTGAGTAACTGCACGAAGTTTGGACATCATTGTAGGAATCTGAAAATGGATATCTGTGTTGAAAACACGTGTTTTATCCGCAGTGACAGATGGGTATCTACCTACATGAAAAGTGCGATTTTAAAAAGCTCTATCCTGAAGGTTTCTACTTTTTATTAATGTTTACGTGCGATTTATAGGTACCTACCTGTGTATTGCAAATGCTTTAACATCCAGTTGTACCTATATTTCATGCCACATGCCAGTTACAATAAGTGTTGAAGTGGTTTTTGGTCTCTCCTTCGTTGTACTACTTAGTTAATTCAGTCGGAATACACTCCAATTTAATTATAGGATTTAACATTGTAATTCCACGAGTGTCTTTTCAATCTAACGCCGCGCATTCAACCCTTCCTCTTACGTGGTCTATATTTGGACCATATGAAATTGCCAAATTGCTGATATAAATAAGTGAATTATACCTAAATTAACTATTCGGAATTGTAGTAAATATAACGTCCAATAATTAACAAGTAATTTATACTCTTTAAAGTTTGACATGCCCGAAATATAGCTGGTAATGCTAACTTTTACTTTTCAGTAAAAGTCGCCGGAGATATGGACAAATGGAAACGGGCAGAATATTGTGACGTTCACATGAGCCAAACCCCCTTTTATATCAAAATTTCCAGGCTCCAGTGAAATGTGGAATGTACCTATCTGTATAAATTTATTAGACAAATGAATTCTTTAACTAAAAGTGAATTAATTTACTCTTACTGTCCCTACCTACCGTATATTCTTACCCGTGGAATAGAAATTCCCCTAATAGTACAAGATCCCACATAAGGTCAGCCTTCGCTCATCTGTTTACCGAGCGAATACATTTTTTAGCAATCTTCATATGTAAACAAACACATTGCAAATGGGTTGCCTAAACAAATTGAATCAAGACTACCCTTCATTAAAATTAATGTAAGTCATATTTGTCTGCTTTTATCACATGGAGAGACGAGCACTCTCTTACATCGTTGCGTACGCCACGTTCAGCTGTTACGTTGCGCCCTGCGGAACAATTTAGACATGTTTCTCTCTGGCGTGGTACTTAAATTGCGACAACCGTACTTTTCCGTGCGAAAGACAAGGACACAGCGTAACAGCCGCTAATGAATCCAAAAACCATTGAATAACTTCCCAAGGAACAAAAATATATATTTGAAGAGCCCTCTAAGAATCACTGAAGAATTATTGGGTATCCATTTGTTTGACCGAGGCTATTGGCCCCGAACCCGAATTTGACTTAGGATCCAGTTGGAAATAGCAGAGCGTCGAACCCATTAGACAGACCGAAACCATGTAACGGAAGCCCGCTAAAGCGTTTAAATTTGTTTAATTTTTATTTGGGTTATAATACCACCGAGGAAAATTTCGTATGTATCGGTTCATGCGAATAGAAATCTCGAGTAAAAGCGACAGTCGGACGGATTTGGGTAGCGTTTTTTTTTAATTCCGCAAGGAATACGCTAAAAATCGGCATTGCATACATAAAAAAGTGATACCCCTAATTCCAGGTGATAATAAACGTGTAAACAAATATAGTAAACGAGCTTCTGGGTATGGCTATAACATGTGCAAAACTAAATTTTGAAACTGGCGTTAAGTTTGCTTTTATTCCAAGTGGCTATGTAACAAATTTCATTTAAATACCTTCATAAATAAGAAAGTTTGCAATTCGGTCTGTAAATGGTCGAGATACGAAGAGGGCACTGTGAATGTTGATCGATTAGGCTAAAGCTATGCGCGTATTGAATTTCATGCAATTCGGTTCATAACTAACGGAGATGTCAAAAGGAAAGGACCTTCTTTATTTTTTAGCCTACATTGTCAATTCACGAACTCCGATCTACAAATTTGATAAAGAATCCACCTGCAAAATTTCATCGTAATCGGTCCATTCGTTTATGAGATATGGTGCTAACGGGCGGACGGACGTTAGGGTAGCCAGGTGTTAGGCAGTGGTTCTATTAGATAGTGGGTCTTGTTACTCTAAATTTATATTAAATTGATAATAATAGGTAAGTTGAAAGACTGGATTCGTCATGGGAAAATCAAAATCACTAGCGACTGTCTGGGACTAGATACGGTAAAATTGGCTCAGGGTAGGGCGGAGTTAGGTCGAAGATAGAAAATTATTAAATGCGCTTTGAACCGTCGTAGAGCTACGTCAAAGTTTTTCAAGAGAGCGGAAAATTAAACGTAGAGATTACACCAAAATAGCAGTAGTTTGTTGTAAATTAGCGATGGAGTTTTTGTGTGTTCTCGTGCATGAACTCGGTTAAAAGAAGGTTTCCATTTTAAGTTGAATAATAACTACCGAATATCTTCTAACTACATTTATCTGTATATGTACTAGTAGATTGCCTTTGGGAAATCTCGTTTTCTGGGTTGGGAGATACGGTCGTTTTCGAAGACTACGCCGCGTCACCTCACTTCGCGTCAACATCCCGCTCCTGGATGGAATAGAAACACAGTGTTGGCGGCTGGGTTACCTTACCTCACCCAAATGTTCCGCCCCCCGATGGCGCATAAACTCGGGTTCGGCGATTGCGCCGCCTCACCTCACCCAATATGTTTACACGCGATATGAAATATGCTCTACGATCTATCCTAATACCGCGCGCTCGGATGGGACAAAAACTCGGTTTCGGCGGCTGCAACGCCTCACCTCGCCCAATCGTATGAAATATACTTTACGACCAATTCTCATTATATCTGCCATTACCAAATATAAAAGAATCCATAAACATCGGTCAAGCCGATTCGGAGGCGTGCGACCACAAACACCGTGACACGAGATTTTTATACACTGTCCAAGATAAGGTTGTCTATCATGGGGCTCTCCGAAACCATAGAAAATACGACGATGGTCAAATTAGGGAAAAGTTGCGCAATTAAACAGTTATTATCATGCTTTAAATAAAAACCAGGAAATTCCGATTACTTCCGAAGATATGCCAGAAAAACCGAAATTTGCCGATTTGGTTTTTCTTTTTCCCTGAGGTTATTTGAACAGATACTAAAAATAGGAAAAAATTTTTGAGCTCTACGAGACACCGTTGAAACCATGTTTCGTTAAATCATCATCCACTTCATTTTTTTATATGGCCCGTAAAAAGTACATTCTGTATTGTGAGTAGCATTTTTTATTACGAATCCAGCGATAGGTATACGTACGTCACCCACAAAAAACCAAAAGTTGGAAAGTGCTAAAAATATTGTGGAAGAATTAATTCCTCTTATTGGCATTAGCACAGATTAAACTATTTTGTCTGTGTTGTCGTTCTCGAACAATAAATAGTTTTAGTCGGATTATCCAATTAGGTCACCGTGAAAATTGAGCAATTCGTGGACTACCAGAATTCTTATAGAGAAACCCAAACAGTGTTTTGTCGATGATCTCCCCAGTTCAAAATTAGAAATTGACAACTTATTGTAATAGGGGACGTTTTGTCCATTTAATGTAATATCCTTTTTATTCCTAATGCAGAGGATTGTTTTTGCATTACCTATACAAATTCATTGCACTGTTAACAAAGGTATTTTTAGAATGGTATGTAAGATAAGGTGTGTAGTACGCGAAATATAGCTTAAAATTGGTGCGTAGAAACGATTCGTCACCCACCTTGCAAAGTTTGAGCACGTTGTTTGATAATTTAGCCGGTTAAATTTTGTTATTTAAAGCGATTTACCAAAGGCACTTATTAATATCTAGATAGACTTTTAATATTGCTAGTGTAATTGAGACCCCTATTCTTGAACCGCTCGGGAAAAATCGATGAGTGTGTGAGTTTCTCATCGGTCCAGGACCAGGACCATTCCTAGAACTAGTTCGAAACGGCACAGAAGTGGGTCCGGACGGACAAAACAACAAAAATTCTTAAAAAATGCGCTAAAAACTCTAACCTAATAAGAAAGAAATCTTGTAATCAACTGAAGTTCTTCGTATCAGGTGTAAAAAGTATCTCCACTCTTTAATTTTCTAAAGCAAATTGAATTTTATAGCACTTGTTCCTCGATATTGAACTACTTACGAAATTTATATTTGTTTATGAAATTTAAGTTGGTTATCTTATTGAGTAAACATATTAGACATCTTCAACTTATATTTTGGATTATCAGTGAATGCAACCACACGAACCGGACGCAATGAAAGGCATTCTCAACGGATCCAGTTAATGGAAAATTTAATTTTTGCAAAATTCATTTGAACGGATATACCTATCTGCCTGCGTATATTAAGTATTATAAATTATACCATTGTTTAATATTTAAACAATTATACCTACAATTTCAAACACCAGCACTTCTTGAAATTTACATTGTTATCTGTGCATCTGACCAATCGTTGAGTTAGTGATACTCTGATGCTCGTGAAAAAAAGCATTACATAATTAGTGCCTAATTATTTAAGCAAGTGCAAAAACAATTATTACCTAGGCGTAGATGTATACATATAAATTACCTTTTTAAAAAATAAATGTAGTCACTTTAATAAACAAACTAGCTAACCATTAATGTAGATAGGAATATATGATCACTTCCACCACACTTAATTGAAAGGAATTTATTCGACAGATACATTGCGCTTAACAGAGAAAGAGAATCGCAATTCTTGATCAATGCAAAGGTCGTAGATAATTTTTATGGATTACACGGTTCGAATGTTGAAATTTCGTCAACTATGACAAATGGTTTCCCAATCGTTGAATTGAAAGTCAAGTTCAGGGGGTAACGCCTCGGTTTCTTTCGAAGTACATTCGGACAGGAGTAAAAATATATTAATGAAAGAGAACTTACCCACTAATTTTGATTTAGAAGTAGCTACGCAAGATCGCAATTCAATATAAATACTATGTGTAATGTTTATGTACCAACTCTACCGATACCAATAAATTAAATGGAACAATATTATATTATCGGATAGGTATTTCCATGGCACTCGCACACTTGAAGCGATAATTTGAAGGTTGACCCTATTATTTAAATAATTGATTGTGATAAGTATAGGATAAACTTTAGTTTCTCCATTTTTGTAATATATTTAAATCTGTGGTACTTGTAGTACATTAATCAATGTAGAGCGGCTTCACAATAATTATTATGGTTTTATAAATGCTCAGATTCAGGGGTGCCCTTTGAATTGCATAGGTACCTTATTTTTGTTCAGCTATACGTTTATTAAATGAATAACATTCAATGTGAATGTCTTTGTTTCCATAGTAATGAACTGTCCGATAAATTTAACGGCAAGAAACAAAATCGGCCTTTAGTTATCATTTCTGCCTTATTTTGCAAGGAAGAAAGAAAGGAAAGAACTACGTACTACATCTGACCAATAACAGATGCATTAGATCTTGTATTCGTATTCGTTCTTTAGACTGCAATGAACCCAGCGGAACGTGATATGAACTCTTTCAAGTAGGTACTAGAAAGATACGCACATTCATACACGCTTATCGTTAGCTGTTTGCTGATAAGCTTACCCGTCTGTAGCATGGTGACAGTGTTCAATTATTTATGTTTCGAGTTTCGATAAAATAAGTTGCTCGCTAGCTATATCGACCAGCAGAGGTATCTTTACGCACGGGCACAATGAGCTCGCGCCCAGGGGTGACTGAAAATTTAATCAATTCTTCCTTGGGTAATGATAAACATAATAGTACATCTTTGGTGCAATAAAGTCTTTTGTGAGAAACTGGATGGAAAATTACATGGCATTACAGGTCAAATCGAACTAACGACAAAATAGTGGAAATTATCGAATCGCAACTCATTTATCGCACATAGATTCTAAACCGAAGAGTTTTGATTAGCATAATCTCGCCCTCGAGATATGTAACTCGCCCCTCGTTCGGGGTTTCGAGCCTACAGTTGAATGTCGAAAACAATCACGGAATTAAGTCGTAACTTATCTGATTACAGTATTCGCCACTACCGTGACTGCTTCATGCACGGAGAAAGTGTTAGTTACGAACAACAATTCAGTACACGCACACACCACACATACAACTAACTCGGTAAGTAACTTCCCTGTCTCGTTTCACATATTAAAAGAATGATCAAAATTTATATGACTATTACTTCCCGTCAAGATCATGTAATCAACATCAATCAATTAAAATTTACACCAAACATGATGTGTATGTTATGGAATAGCAATTAAGCAAAACACAAAAGCATAATAAAATACGAACAAGAGGACACACAAAAGCAAAATAAACCCCTAAAGAGTATCTAAAAAAGCGGCAGAGCACCTCGTTGTGACCCTACGTGGTCATTGGATTTGACCCATTTTCAAAATACTAGAATATAGCTTCAAGCGTTTGGCAATAATCGTGTTCACGGACAGACGGACACTTCGACTCCCCTATAAAGCTTGCATCGCTTTGCTCTGCCGCTTAATAATAAAGCTTCTACATTGTTACTGCCTGCGAAAACGTGAATGAGAAACAAGGACAGAACCCAGTCTTCAATATAGTATCATAGAAGAATAAAAACTCTGAAGTAATTATTAATTGTAATTAGATTATCCAATTCATTATGCAATTTATTCAAATTTCTGGACTAAAGAACAATAATAGAAATCAAGTTGCACCTATCGACAAATTATTTTAGAGCTATGAGTATTGGTATGTATACCGATCTGACAAGTACAAATTTAATTCTCTTTTAAATTCCTGATATGAAGAGTACCGGGTGACCCAATAAGACTGTTCCTCGGCCATATCTCGGCTCGAGAACCGTTCGTCATATGACTTAGGGGTAAAAAAAATTATTGGGTAAATCGGTCATGAAGAATCGCTGGAAAATATTTTCAAGTTGTAAAAATGACCACCAGAGGGCGTAACTGCAATCTTAAATTTTAAAATTGCATTTTCTTTAAATTTCTCATAATAAACTAAAAAAATTATTTTAAAGAGAACCAGTTTATCTATCATTTTCGTAAAAACAAAAACTCAGAACAAAAACTAAGATGGTATGGGGCGTTCAATTGTTTTTGCAATAACCTGCTTTAACCTCTTAACCGTTTGACCGATTTTAACAAATTTGGTATGGTTGAAAAGAGCATTCCTTGGACAATGAGAATCGAATACAGTTAATTTAGTTGAATTCTTCTCCGCCAGGAGGCTAGTTTTGACCCAAAATCCTTCCTCCTTCCTAACCTCAAATATTGAGAAAATGAGATTAATTAATTAATTAATTAAAATGCTTAACTTGTATCTTAAATTTACTTTTTACGTATTTCCGGTACTTGTCGATGGCGCGAGAGAAAAGCACCCTACACTTTTAGGTAGGCCTTGGAAAATTAAACAAATGAAACACGATGCATTATGAAATAATAACAGCTGTAATTTGTAAATTATTATGCTGTGTTTACATTCAGAAAGTGCATTTTTTTGAATTTGTTATCTTTTCTAAAATGCCGATTTCTAACGAAGAAGCATATTTAATATGCTGGCGATATATTTGGAGTATTTTCAATACGCGACCATTAGCCCGCATCTTCTATTTGCGCTATCCGAATCGACCACAAGCCATCGCCGCCAGCATATTAAATGCATCTTGGTTAGAAATCGGCATTTTAGAAAAGATTACAAATTCAAAAAACTGCACTTTCTGAATGTAAACACAGCAGAATAATTTACAAATTGCGGCTGTTATTATTTTATAATGCATCGTGTTTCATTTGTTTAATTTTCCAAGGCCTATCTATAAGTGTAGGGTTCTTTTCCAAACAATCTTTCGCGCCATCGACAAATACCGGAAGTACTTCAAATAAGATACAATTTAAGCATTTTTATTAATTAATTAATCTCATTTTCCCAATATTTGAGGTCAGGAACGATATTTTGAAAAAACAGTTTGACTGACCTCTTTGGGTGATATTTGGCTACTTTTTCATAAAGAAAAAGTCGTATCATTCCATTTGATTTTTTTTATTTTTTTAGGATTTTGGATCATAGTGTCAAAACTAGCCCCCTGGCGGAGAAGGATTCAACAAAATTAACTATATTTGATTCTCGTTGCCCAAGGAATGCTCTTTTCAACGATACCAAATTTGTTAAAATCGGTCAAATGGTTAAGAAGTTAAAGCAGGTTTATGCAAAAACAATTGAACGCCACACGCCTACTTTGTTTTTGAAATAACTGAGTTTTTGTTTTTACGAAAATGATAGATAGACTGGTTCTCTTTAAAAATGTGAAAAAAATTTTTTAGTTTATAATGCGAAATTTAAAGAAAATGCCATTTTTAAATTTAAGATGGCAGTTACGCCCTCTGGTGGTCATTTTTAGAACTTGAAAATATTTTCCAGCGATTCTTCATAACCGATTTACCCAATAATTTTTTTACCCCTAAGTCATACGACGAACGGTTCCCGAGATATGGCCGAGGAACAGTCTTATTGGGTCACCCAATACATTGAAGATAGTTCAATCACATTACTACATGTATGTGCAATTGGCCTGCGAATTCCACCCTGTAACTGATTAAAAGATACCGTAATTGCATCAGGAAGATGGACAGATGCAGTTACAAACATTAGAAACTTGTCTAGGAGTACCTACATACTGCTCTAAGTAATAAAAAACCCTGCACTAATTATTGGTCAAGTCTTCTGGTTGTGTAAGACAGCTACTGACACGAACCAGAGTGACCAAAGGCATGAGAACTGCTGAATCAATGATTTTCGGTAATCGAGGTTTGGGCCAATTACTTTTCGAGAGTTGGGGTTGGTGAAAAGAGTTGATAAAGATAGCTGAAACAACTGCTAGGTGCAATTTTAGGTGTACTTTTTTTAAGTTTAAGAGAGTAGGGACCAGGGCCGCCCAGACAATTTCAGGGACCTGGGACAAAGTAAATTTTGGGGCCCTGTTTTGGAATAGAAAAAATTTCAAAGAAAATGTTATTTTAGAAATTTACTGGCATCATCGGCCGTACAAATGAAAATGTGGCAACGGGAACTCTATTGCTGTTTCATTCTTCCTCACAGATCCACGGCCAACACGGGGGCCCTTTGAAATCGGGGGCCTGGGGCAAATCGTCGCAGTTGCCCCCCCCCCTCTGGGCGGCCCTGGTAGGGACACGTCCAGAGGAGATGCCCGTAGGGCATTATGCGGGTAACCGCGAAGTATTACCATGGATTTTAGGCGATAGATCGCGAGAGCGTCGCGTGCATTAAAAAAGATTAAATGTGGTTGTTAATTTGGATTGAACACAAATTCAATCATGCTATTTGAATTTGAAGTCCACGTTGATTTGTATTATAATTATTAGTTGCCTAATTTTGTTTAAATAGTTGCCTTATTTTTTGTTTGATTTATTGTGCAGTTAGATCTGAATTTCATAGTGCAACCAGGTATAATGCTTATAAAGATATTGTTACAAGCAGTATCTAAACTAAATCACTTACCTAGGTGCCGCAAATTAAATTGACATATACATACATAAACGTTTATTATCGATTAAATTAATCAACTAATATAGGTAGGCACATAATTATTTACTACGAACTCGTACTGGTAAACGCCTTCACATATATATTGTACAACATTCATCGGTGCAGCATCTGCATCCATACCTGACGATAGGAGCTATTTTCACCCCCATTCATAGAGGGTGTAGGGAGGGCGTATTTAGTTACAAAAAGGAACAAATTGTATTTGTGATTATTTTCGTACATTCTCTTAACTGTGCTTCAGTAATCACTAGGGGTGGTGCGAGGCGGATTATGTCACTGTGGGTTTGCTTTGCCAACAGTCCATTATCTCTCAGTCTAAGGCAGATTTCTGTTGCGGTGAAGCCGATGTCTGAAATAATTTGAACATAAGTTACACCTGACAATGGAAGGGTTTATCATTATTCATTAAAAAATTACCTCGATTTATGACAATTGCGCACATTAGTCCTTTGCCGCGAACTTCTTTTACAATACTTGTAGGCAGTTGTTTAAGTTCACTTTTTAGTAAACAACCTAAGTGCATAGCATTTTCGGTAAGACGCTCTTCGATGGTAACGTTTAAAGCCGCAATTGCCACTTTACACGCGAGTGGATTTCCTCCATAGGTTGATCCGTGCTCTCCGGGTTTCATGCAAAGTATGATGGGGTCGTCTGCCAAAACTGCGGATATCTGAAACCACTAAAATCAAAATCTATACGCTTTCCTTAGTGATTACCGCCATCATTCCTCCGGACAACGCCTTTCCCAAACAGACGATGTCGGGTCGAACATCCTCGTGCTCTACTGCCAAAAGTTTTCCCGTCCTCCCCATTCCCGTTTGCACTTCGTCATCAATCCACAATACGTTGTATTTAGTGCATAATTCACGTACACCTTTCAAGTAACCCGGCGATGGTATCACAATTCCTGCTTCTCCTTGAATGGGTTCAACCATAAAGGCACAAATATTAGGATCGTCTTTCAATGTCGTCTATATAAGGTATAAATATAAGTTTAAAAAAACCAAAAAGTAAAAAATAAGACAGGTACCTACCTCTAAAGCTTCCAAATCATTGTAGGGGACGATTAAAAATCCCGGCATAAATGGACCATAATGCTCCCTGCAAGACGGATCTGTCGACGACGAAATTGCGGCTAAGGTTCGTCCCCAATAATTGCCTTCCGCGAATACTATTTTTGCTTCATTATCAGGAATTTTTTTCTTAAGGTATCCCCATTTTCGTGCAATTTTACAGGCAGTCTCTCCGGCTTCCACTCCGCTGTTGATGGGTAAAACCTTATCGTAACCAAATACACTGGTTATGTATTGAGCATATTCACCCAATGCATCGGTGTAAAATGCTCTCGAAGTTAGCGTTAATATTTCGGCTTGCTTTTGAAGAGCTGCGACGATTCTGGGATGACAGTGTCCTTGGTTTACAGCTGAATAAGCACTTAGGAAGTCGAAATATTTTTTTCCTTCCACATCCCAAACATAAACCCCTGTCAACAGAATACATGTAGTAAGTGGGTATACCTACTGAAATCTAGTGTTTCAAGATTTACCTTGTCCTCTAGTAATTGCAACAGGAATTGGTTCATAGTTGTGCGCGCCGTACTTGGCTTCGCGAGCGAAGACGGATTTTGATGTCTTCGTATCGCGTTTTGCATCTTTTGCTCCACTAGGAACAAGTTCGTTGATGTGATTTTGGACACTCTGCATAGTTCCTGGCATGGTGCGAACGTGTTAACTGTATTTGCAACTGGCCGATAAGCAGAAGTATGTTGCTATATATACCAAACTGGATCATGCTTCGAGACCCTGAGGTTACTTCGCTTCGCATCACGCAATTCAGAAAAAAATATGCGATCAATGAGTTGTTTATCATATCTTGTTTTGTACCGCTTTGACGCCTACAGACGTTTGCAGAATTGTTTCACATATTTCATGAAAAAAGGTCCTAATGAACGTTTCAAGAGTGAAAAAGATGCTGCTATCTAAGGGTTGTCATAGATTGTTTTCCTTATTTTAGTTTTATTTTAAGTGTCATATCGCTATAACAAACCAATCAATTTAAAATCACGTTGAAATATTCACAAAGTTGTTATACAATCTGTGATTTTCTGCGTAGTACGTAGTCGCCGTTTTATCTACATACTTTTCCTTTTGCGAAACAAACAAAACAGAACATCTATTTTCAAATGGAAAGAAACAAACATTTAGCTCAACTCTTGACCTAATAACATACTATTCATCTAATTATAAATATTGTCATAAATCGTATTATATGTAGCACGTTAACATTACAACAATCATGAGCTTAATTTAGTCAGTTTAGATTATTAGATAGGTATACCATAGTGTAAGATATACGTAGGCACAGGTAGAGTAGGTATCTAGGTGTTCTACTAGTATTCTGAAGATGAAATCTCATTGTAGCAACGTAGGTATAGGTATAACCATTGCGCTCTCACAAAGGAAAATTAACAAATTTTGTCTTGTCCGTAATTATAATTAAAACCTTCCCCAGAATGAGTATCATGCATGCAGTTTAGAAATGCAAAAGTTATGGGAGTACAACTCCATATAACCCTTAATTTTGACTTCGTTATTCAATTATATAACTTTATCTGCGCCTGTAGGATAACTCTCACTTATCCCGGTCATTTTAAGTGGGATAAGAACTTAATTACCACACTCAGTGGGATAAGAACTTCATTACCACACTCAGTGGGATAATCCCTTGTCAAAACAATGTATGATCAAAAATCAACTATCAAGATTATTTATTGTAAACATTAACGTCTGATGGAATAGTTCCAGACTCACTCATGACATACGCAAAGAAATCAGAAGCAAAATTTTTGACGTACAAATTTTCTTGACGTTAGGATTTTCTTGTTTCTATGGCGTCGAAAACTGCTAACTATGCTACTTCGATTGAAATTTAAAAAAAATGCATCAAATTTATTTTTCGTTTTTAGCAGTAGAAGAACAGTCGCAGATAAAAAGTTGTATTTAATACTTGGGCTAACGGCCATTAACATACTCATGCTCTTACAATAGCTCGGGCTAACGCCCTCGTATGCGCAATTGTCGCATTCGTAAGTTAATGAGGCCGTTATCCCACTGATTAAATAAATAACTAATAAACAATCCGATACAACTGAATACCGAACCATCCTCGAGATCTTCGCACATACATCATGCTACGGGGGTTCCTTCTGGACTTGAAGATTACCATCGGTTCCGCCCGGCAAGGCAAACCGTCTTCTTCTTAGGCTGTTCAAACGATAAAAATAAATGCTCCGGCTAACTCAAATCGGTGGGCTAAACTCTTTTGTAAACTGTGTAACCAACCTTAACCTGCCGCCTACCAGTCTCCTGCCTCAAATCCTACTTCTCCCTTTCCTTCCCCTCGTTCTTTGTTAAAGACAGGCACTTTGAAACCAAATAGATAATATATTGAAATGAAATTAGCGATACAAACAATTTACAGGGATCTAGCAGTTCTTCTCTTCTCCTTATAAAAACACTAGCTTAACAATGACAACTAAAAAATCCTAACAGGTGAAATTAATTTACTCAAGGGGTGGCCATCCTCTACAGTTTGAAAAAATGCAACAACAGGCAATCAGTTTTTAATCCAGCGTGGGCTGGGACTTATTTAAATAAACACAAAAATTTATCCTACTCTTTGGTAATCGTTCATTGGACTTTAATAAACAATCAAATCAAATTTTTTTACTATAGCTTAATTACCAAAAAGTGGAATTTTACAGAATGTTACAAATTTAATTAGACTAACCTTTACAACATTTGTACAGCCGATCTTGTGAACTGCTCTTTCCTCTGGTACAGGTTGGATGTGATCTGACACTTAGGTCTCTGTGACTTTGTGAGGGGTGGCTTGAATTTAACACACGGAAACAAAAATCCACGGTGCCTATCCTTCCTCGGAACGAAAGCAAAGTTTAGTGTTTGAAACGGAAACTTAGTCCCGGAAATCCTTCGCGTGGCGAGTGGGAGACGGCTAGTTGCCAAAGTTTCTACACAGCACAGTGTATTTAATTTTATTTTATCAGTTTATTAGCTTTAATCGCTGGCGGGAAACGGATTTTTTGAGTTAGCGGTACGGCAGAACACAAACTTTTATGATCACTATCCGACGGTAAACCGCGATGGTTCAAAGTATTATTTCACCAGCTCTTCTTGGGGCAAATATCTCTCCGAAACGCAGCGCTCCTTCGACAAATGACCTTACGGCACTAGTAGGAAATTCCACCTGGGGCGGGTCCCGAAATTCTGCGCCTTGAGGACTAGGGCAGCACTTTGAATTATATATCCTCGAGAAATCACAACGTATCCTAACGCGATTCACTGCATCCAAAGTAAACTGGGGTGGCGCTCAAGGGTTCGCCAAAATATCATCTGATTTGAACCGGGTCTTCTTCGCCAAAAAAATCAACACGAAAAGAAAATAACACTTCGGAACGGGTGCAAAAAGCACGCAACTGGGAGCAACCGAAATAAGCCGGTGGCTCAAACCGCCAAGTGTACCAAAACTTTCGCTCAAGGTACGTGTTGACCGCTTGAAGTACTAACCGCGAGTCTCCTCTAAAACGCGATCACTCAAGGTACGTGTTGACCCCTCGACGTACTAACCGCGAGTCTCTCCAAAAACGCGATCACTCAAGGTACGTGTCGACCCCTCGACGTACTAGCCGCGAGTCTCCCCAAAAACGATCCCCTTCTTCAGAATTGAAATGAAAAAATCACACCCAAATTACCATAAAACAAAAATGGCTCCCGCTAGAAATTCTCCCATTGGTTTAGATAAAGAAAACTTAACCCACTCCAACTTCGTCATTAACCTCCAAGAACTGCTGACCAAACTGATCTCACGGTTTTCTGTTGACGACGTGGAAAGGGCCCTTATCTCTGATAGCTCGGTGTTACATCCGCTCCTTTTCTCGGCCCAGACGGCGCCAAAGTTGATAAATTAACGACAAACAACTCGCATTACTCATGATGACGTCAATCAGCTTTGCACTCTTCCCACGACGAAATTAAATCTGAGCGAAATTAAATCTATCGGACCATAGTCTTGAGCAAACCGAAATGCCCAAACACAAAATTTCTAACCGGAACAAATAATGAAATATACAGGGTGACCTGCACTATCATGACAAGAAATTCGAAATTTTTAATGAAATTTGGCGCGAAATAAAACCACTCGTTACAATCATTTTTACAACACACCTTAAGGGATTGATTCTGTCCCACCAGATCAGCATAGCTTGTAATTTCATACTGACCGGTAGATGTTCGATTACACTATCATTTTGAGTCCGGTAGGTGAGTTATTACAGCATCAGAGCCGGTAAGTGTCGCTAAGCAACACTTACCGGACTGTTATTTGTATACATCAAATTTGACATCTTCACACAATTAATTAAAAACCCCAACATAAATTTGGCTGTAATTCTTTATTTCAAATATTAACATTGATTTTGATTGTAATGAAACAATTTGTATTGCCCGCAACACTACGCCTGGGTTATTACTGTATGTCGAGTTAGTAATGTTTGATTCCTTCTGCTGTAGAACTTCAATGAAATTTTCGCCGCCTTGTATCAATTGTATCATACGGGCAATCTTAACTTTTCCTTCTACCGAGCCTTCGATGTATTTTTCTGCCGTCGATGAGCTTTTCCATGCTCCATGACGCTTTAACACCGAAACCCAGGCAAAAAAATCTCAATTCAAAAACTTACTGCGTCCAAAAAGTATGCCAACATGACTTTTTCCTCTACTTGTTCCTCAATTGGCAAAACACTTAGTACTCTTTTTCATACCTTGCGGCCGACTTCTTAGGAACCAACTTTTCGGTTGCTTCATGAGATTTCGACAGGATTGTATCGGGAACAGTGGAACATCCCACAACGTTTATAACGTCAATTTTTCAGTGAAAAAAATTCAATTGTCAACAAACTACAAACTATAGCAACGGCCGTTGCCACAGAAAAAAAGGTAATGCGATTTTTACAATATGATGAAATTTTGTAATCTTTGAAATGAAATAATGATACAAAACAGACTTACAGTATGAAATAAAATACGTTACGATATACGTCCGGTAGTACTTGTAACAGTACTCGTTTAAGACATTCTTGACTCGGCTCCTGACGTCGCCTCGTCCATAATGTCTAACTCGTACTGTTACAAGTAACCTACCGGACTTATAACGTAAATAACTATTTTGAATTGGCATTAGTTTTACTTTTATTCGAGGTGCATACATATAAAATTCATGTAATTCGATTCATAACTAACGGGGATGTTAAAAAATCGGATTGCGCATGGCAAAAACAAATTTTTTGATCGGCATCAGCTTTACTTTTATTTGAGGTGCCAGTACAAAATTTTATTTAAATATCTTAACAAATAAAAAAATTGGGATTGCGCAAATACAACAGTTTGGTTGCGCATGCGCAATTTTTTTAATCTGCATAGTTACCTGAGATTTAAGGAATATTACTAATACAGAAAACCGGACATTCATATGTTCCTTGTAACAAGAATTACTAAAAAACCCTTTGGGGGTTTGGACTGTAACTTTTTGGTCCGTTAGTCTACGTAGCCGAAACACAATAGAGACCTTTCTTATATCCTGAAGAACATGTGGGTCAATTTTAAAAGCGATCGGACGTCTCTACACAAAGTTATCGTGCACACGAACAGACAGACGGACAGACAGCAATACAAAACTTTACGCAATACTTTATGCAATAAATAGGTGTAGAAAAAAGTGTTATTATACTTATACCTATTTATTACTCTTTGTTATATAACTTATTTTTTTAAAAAAAGACAAAACCCAATTTCTCAATTACCAAGACATCTAATAATAGTCTAATATTTTGTTTGTTAAATTGTGGATTGTATTCTGTATACTACACTTATATCATTCATGTTCTACTTAATCATTAACATAAAATCAATTTCCTATTCGTATGTGACTTTTCAACCTTCAGAAATATCAGTACCAAAATAGACATGAAAATTTTCCATACTATATTTCAAAAAATACCCGATATAAATATATTATTGAATATCGATACTTATGAAACAACAACTTTTGTACTATGCGATTACCGAAAGTAGTGTAGGTCAACAAAAATCACAAGTGGACGACGAAGCCTGATATGATAAGAATTCCTCTATATCTATTGATACATTTAAATGCAGTTAATAATGTTAATAACTTCTCCATTTTCATTTTGATAAGTACGCTATGGCGTCACATCTGCTTTGATACACATACATTTTTTTAATAAAATAGATACCTACTGCACTACATCATGGTATTAGGTTAGCAAACCACATATACTGACATAGGTACAATTTATTTGCACATGTGAAGTGAGGTTCTAATTTATAAATTTTTGCAATTGTAATTGAAATTCGGCCCCCCATAAAGTTCTCGACCTATTAAAAACCGTTATAAAGAGTAACTTGTATTAGGCGCCTGATGCGGAAGACCGGAACTATGACCAACAAGTTAAAAAGTAATCGTAAACGATTCACAAAAAGCGCACTTCCACTTGCATTCATTTCTTATTTGTAAGATGCAACTTCTGTTAAAATCGTAAAAATCCGGCCACAAATATGAAAGATAGCGTTGCACATGTGCAATCCATTTTTAACGTGCTTGTTCAATTTCATTTTATAAGAAGAATTTCATTTGAAAGCGGGAACTGCGCATGCGCAAAATAAAATTTTGAAACTGGCGTTAGTTTTTTAGCGCATTTCCACAAAAATTTAAAAAAAAATGCGCTGTTGTGGCCACTTTGTCCGTCCGTCCGTCCGCTCGTTTTGCGACGCCACTAGTTCTTTATCTTAAGAGCTATTGTTCTACTTTTTTCGCTATTTGGTTCGTTATGGTGTCGAGGCTTGCACCAAGAAAGGCATTTTTTCTGTACCGCTTACAAAAAAGTTATTGTAAAAAAACCAAAAAACCGTTTTTTACATGTTCCATAATTTTACACTTTTGCCGTTTATTAACGATCCTAGAGATCGTTTATAATTTTGTATTGCTGTCTCTCGTCTGTCTGTTGGTCTGTCCGTCTGTTCCTTTGTCTGTCTGTCCCTGTATCTGTCCGTGTGAATGATAACTTTGTTTAGAAATGTCCGATCGCTTTTACATCTCCGTTAGTTATGAACTGTATTGCATGAAATTCAATATGGGCATAGCTTTAGCCATATAATACGCAATGCCCAAAGGTGAGTCGAATCGATTCAAAATTCACAGTGTCCTTTTCGCATCTCGACCATTTATAAAACGAATTGCAAACTTTTTTATTTATAAAAGTATTTGAATGAAATTTGATACATAGGCGCTTGGAACAAAGGAAAATCTAACGTTAGTTTCAAAATTCTTATTTAGAAAAGCATTTAAATGAAATTCTTCTTATAAACTGAAATTGAAGTAGCACGTCAAAAATAGATTGCACATTTGCAACGCTATCTTTCATATTTGTGGCCGGATTTTTACGAATTTAACAAAAGTTGCATCTTACAAATGGGAAATGAATGCAAGTGGAAATGCGTTTTTTGTAAATCCTTTACGATTACTTTTTAAGTTGTTGTTATATTTCGATTACATGGTCTTGGCCCAACTAATATTCATATAAATTTTGATCATTCTTTTAAACACGTGGGAATAATCGAATTGTTTGAAATTGGATGTATGTATGAACTTGTTTGTAAACTAACACTTTTCGCCTTGAAGAGATGGGGCACGGGGGTGGTAAATAACTGTAACCACATTTGTTACAACACCTAATGCCGGAACTGTCCTCGACTCTCAACTATAGGCTGAGAATTCCCGCATATGAGGGTCCATAATTTTTATCTGTCTCCGGAGTAACTCTGCTAACACAAACACTCTTCGGTTTAAAATGTATGGGTGGTCCGAGTTGCGATTCACTAATTTCCACATGTTCGGTAGTTTTAAACGTTGAAAATTTGCCCTGCAAAGTGCAAGGCCTTATAATTTTCCATGTTGCTTTTTTACAAAGGTACAATTACATCAAAGATGAGTCACATCTTGTGCATGCATTTCATCATTTCTTAGAAGCTACCTGCTTAAGTATCCTAAATTTGTTTTTAACTTTGACTGCAAGTGCAACCAACTTGGATTTATTAATCAAAGGTCAAGACCGTTGGTTCCTCGTGCGTATCCCATCCTTTCCCGACCCCCTTGCTGCATCAGCAAGAACACCAAGCCATGGATGAAGTCACGCCTTCCTCCAACATTCGTAGGTATTGCTTATGTAAGATGGGAAGGATTAAACGTAATAATCCTGCATTAGTGCATTACCATTAGAAGTATGACACAAAAATTCTTGTGTCTAGCACAGATGCCACCCGCACACCTGCGTATGCGCGTGATTTTCAGGTATTCCTTTTATGTCTAAAAATATGTACTTATACGAAATTTGGTTCCAATCGATTGAACCATTTAACCGGAAATGAGAGTACACGCAGACAGAACGACATAATAATTGAGATTTTGTTTGATTCAGATTCCTGGTGCTTCAAAACGTGTATTTCCTGAGATTCAGGTATTACAAAATATTTTATACTAAATGGTGTACTTACCTATTTTAACTGTAGGTATGTATATTTTTTTTATTGGAAACCGACAAAACTGGAACCAGAATTGAAAATTATTGAAGAACCCTTAAAAACTAATTCTACCTACACCGGAACCTATATATGGGTTCCCACCATTGGCGAGATAACTACCGGTGGTGCCCGGGCGGTCAACCAAATTTGCGCCCTCTTCCTCTACGAGTAAAAAATAAAAGGGGAGAACCTTGCATTAAAAGGGGACGAGACGGAAATGGACAAAAAGGAAGTTATAAGAGTGCGAGAAGAGTGGGGAGAAACGCGTCATTATTGGCAGTGGTGTAATAAAACAAAACTGACATCGTCTCTTCTGTTTTATCATAAGTCAAGTCGACATAACTGACCAGCGCAAAGGAAGTGATATGATGACGACTTCCGTCGCGTGTTATGCTATTTCCCACCACCGTTATATTCTCTCCTCTTATTTTTTACTCATAGCTCTTCCCCCATTTTGCAAAGTCACCGGAGCCATATGTACACAAGGCGCTAAAGAAAAGCAATTAAATGTCAAAAATTTTGAATAACTTGAAAACCTTTGATGCTAGGTATAGGGAAACCGGAAATGGGGTATCAAACGAAGTCACGTAGATTTCGAAAATGCAGTGTTATTTTAAATAGAGCACTTTCTTTAGAAAGTTGCCATCCATATCCGGTAAAACCGGAAATGAAACAATCATGATTATATTTTCTTTCGATAGATTATGAAAAAATATTTGGTCTGCAAATTTTCAGATATAAATAATTAATGGAAGTCAGTACAGCCTGTATACTTCATGAGAACTGTCGATTGCAGATTCCTATGGGATAGGCAACTGTATTCACATTTTCTTACGCCAGCATTATGCACATGCGTATAAAGAAGACATGGTAACTTAGATCATATATATTTAAGTAAAACCGTTACAACCGTTTTAATACAAATCAAATTTTATCTATATAAACTATCTACATAAAAACAAATACAATATGAACACAATGTATATCTCACACCATACCAATGATTATCGTTTCAAGCTAATGAGTGCGTAACACCGTGGAGAAATTATAGGATCAAATAACTGGGTCAAAAATGCATTTGCATGTCCATTCTCATGCAAAAATAGCAATCTATCCAAAAGTATAATAGCTTCAATTAATGGCGCTAGCATACAACGTAAAAGATAGAATACATATAATTGATTTTCATATGTTTCATACTCATGATACACTTTCATTAACTCATCATTTGAAAGATCAAGTTTAACATTTATATTTTTTAAACAGATGTGCACATATTCCACAAAGTTCTCGCATTTCTTTTTAACTTTTCCCACTTGACGCTTACTCTTACAAATATTATACTTTTCTAAAATGACTTCCAAGACTGATCTATAAAACAATATCTTACTAGGCAGCTCCTTTCTATTCAAAATGCGATCTACTGGCTGAGCCGACAGCATCAGAGCGATATGTCCTAATTTGAAACGTTTATTTCTAAGATGCGCACTCAAGGGAAAGCCAAAACTATGCGTTGATTTGGAATTAACACTTTCGAATTCCTCATTTAGTAAATTATAACAACATGAAACATTGCAAAGGGTTTTGAGATTATTATTTCTGTTGTACATTTTTATACAAGCAGCGGCCAAATCTCCGCATGTATGTAAACCTACTAATCCAAAATTTGTACTTCGCTGCAAAAATATGTCACTAATAAGCTGTTCAAAATCTGTGTCTTCTGTAACAAATTGTGTTACCTGTTTATACAAATGGTCAATTTTAGTTAAGTTGTCTTCCGTTTTAGATGGCAAAGATTTATAAGGATTATGCTGAAAACCTTTCCAAGCTTTTTCTAGTAAACGTGCTCTTTTAATAGCACCATCTGTGTGAAGTAGGGAGGAGTCAACGCCTAGCACAGGAATTTGATGATGTAAGGCCAATAACGAACTTAAGTAGCCCTTCCCGCAACCTACATCTATTATGTGTGTCGTTTTACTAATATTATAAATTGTGGCTACAACTTTTGTTAATAATTCAATTTCATGAGACTTCTTTTCTGTTACAAACACTTTTAGTTTTAAACTTTCTACATCACCGCCGCCCCATTCAAAAAACTTTCTATGTAAGTCTGATTGACTTAAACACACCATGCTCAAATTATACAGTTGGCAAGATTTAGCTCGATTTATGTAATCATTTAAATGAAAGGCACAAGGGTTAGGTGTCCCCTTTAAAAGAATATCAATTGCATTATCACAGCCAATGTTACAAATATCATTTTGTAAAGGCAATGGAACCGATGTTTTATACCTAGAATTTATAAAATAATCCACCATATGACTGTTAACAAGAGGAAGTAGTGGTTCTAATATTAAAATTAGGTTGTCGATCTCTTTCTTTATACAATTTAGGGAGGGTAACATGTCTCATTCAAAATGTGACTTTGCTAGATTCCGGATAGCTTGCATTAACCTTCAGTAAGGAACACACTTTTCTAAATTGTGACCTAATATCATCTAATAATTTTAAAATATCTACAGTCTCAGAATTATGTTTTGGATATGTCTCAATTAAATGTTGCAAGGCTATTAAATGTTTAAATTTCTTATCGTTCGCCTGCTTGTTTTTAATACTCTTCAAATGGTTCTCAACCACACCGAGGTAGTAACCCAATTCCGCTCCGATTTCTGCTCCTCTATGATATCCTAAATGGTAGCCTTCAATATTTCCATTCAATGTACCAATTCCGTATCCCTCCTCATAGCCTTTCTTATTTAACAGTTCTTCGCTTAACAGTATATCGCTAAATACATCGTTTATATCTTTATCCGTACTATCCGAAACTACAAATAAAATCTTGTAAAATCTGAAATAATGCAATGGAATTACCTGTATGTGGCATGCTCAGCTCAAAGTTGTGGTAGCAAAGCACAAATGAAAAAAAGGAGTCAAGTGTTTTACAGTTTTAGGTTATGTTACAATAATGAATTCGTTTATACAGGGCGTCGTAAAGAAAATAAAAACATTTTGTCCAAATAAAAGCAATACCCAAAATGTTTCGTTTGAGAACCCCGGAAGTTTCAAAGTTTGCGGTTCTTTTTTTTGTCTGTATGGATTAGATTAGGTAATAGTACAGCTCTATACCAAAATATACTGCATTTTGTGATACCAAGGGGACAGCTGTTCCTTAGAACCATGGTATAATCTTAGAACCATTTAGACGATTTGGCCCGAAGAACACGTGACATTTCCCGGTAGATTTTAGAGGGGGTGGGGGTGATTAATTGCAAAATTTTTGAATTTCGTGTAAGGTGTCTAGATTTATGTTTTTGGGGTCAGGAAATTCATTTATGATAACAAAAATAACCCACGGGCATCGGAAGTGCTTCATCTTACCATAATTTCTGATGACGTCACGCGCAGTGAAAACCAATATTTTCCAAAGGTTTAATACCTATATGAATTTATAATATTTTATTTAATTAAAAAAAATACACATTAACAAAACAAAAACAGAAGATACGTCGTTAATACATGTAGGTACAAAATGTAGGTACCTAAGGCTATGAAAGATCGATTACTTCGAAATAAAAATTGACTCGTTGTACTCGTATGTACACAGTCCATGTTTCCGGCGCTGTTACATTAAATGTTCAATACTTCCCAAGCCGAAGGAAGCCATTAGTGTTTTATCCTCGTCGCCAATGTTAAACATACCCGCTTTATTGTAAATAATTTATTACCTTTAAAACTAATTCTGGAAAATTCACGTTAGTTTGACAACTCACAACTGTTTTCTAATGTATCTATAGGATTCAACTACCCAATACACAACAGAAAGACAGTAATTACTACAATGTTGCTAAAATAAGACGACACATTTTATTTTTTATTTTAAGCAATTGTTGAATTTTAAAGTACCAGTCGCTGTAAAACTGCTCCTCTTCTTTCAATATTGAAAGTTTTGTTATTTAAAATCCAATATTGCCTCCAGGAATCATTCTCAAAGCTACCAAATTTCGTCAAAATCAGAAATTTTATTTATCCCCAATTAGGGCTGCGCCCTTTCTTGGTAGGGATTTTGAAAAAAATTTGCAAAATCGGAAAGGGTATACCCAACAAGACTGGTACACTAGTCAAAGTAGGTGTAGGTACATTTCGATCGAAGTACCTACCTACTCGAAGTACTATAGTCGAAGTACTCTAAGTACTTGAAGTAGTAGTTGAAGAAGTACCTTTCGAAGTAGTACGGAAGAAAGAATCGCGATGATGATTGGGTATGCGCATATCACATGACCTTTGTCTGCACTGGAGCAATAGAACGACAGCCAGAATGGAGTCAAAGTACCTTTCGAAGTAGTTGACAGGCCGTCTTTAGCAAATGCGAGGCCTGGAGCGAAACATTTAAGCGGGGCCTTTTTGAACAATGATTACTGGAGGAGTCCTCCCTCGAACATTTTTGCAAAATTACATACTTGCGAAGTCGTCATTTTAAGCACTTTGCATGACTGTCACGCGGCGAAAGGGAGGGGAGATCATGCAAGAATGACTCACTCACAGGCACGCGCGAGCACGAGCGCGAGGCTCGGGCTTCGTTACCCGTCACGGCCGTCACCCCACCAAACGATGTTTTGCATTTGCATTCTTTTGTTCGCGAGTAATGACTATCTCCAAAGACTATCCTCCTATCTCGTACAAATGAGAATCTCGTTCGTAGGTTTGTTAATTAATCAATAATAATTGAACGGGTAAGCAGAGAGATACTTTAGGCACGTATGTCTGTACATTATTATATTATTTTCATTCAACCAAAACGTTTGCTTATTTTTGGGCGAAAATAAAGCCTCGTGCTTACGAGGCCTTTTCAGCGCGGGGCCTAGAGCGGCCACTCCACTCGCTCCACCCTAAGGACGGCTCTGGTAGTTGAAGTAGTTCGGAAAAATGCTGTTCAACAGTGCCCGCGCATGCACACATTAGATGATTTTTTGTCCGGGTCGGTGCAATAGAACTGTGAGAACAGAGTCGAAGTACTTACTTCACAAGTACCTACTAAGAGTACTTTGAAGAAGTTGAAGTAGGTGTGCATATTTTGGTGAGGTGGACCAAAACCTTCAAAAACGCGCCACCAGTCTTTGTTGGTAAGAAAAAAATTAAAGAAGGTATGCAAATTTCATCACTTTTTTGAGGGTGGCTCCCAAACGATACACGTTGGACCCCGGTTTATTTGGAAAAAGTGCTTGCTTTGATCCTCTCTACCTACCAACTAATTTTTAGCTTCCTAGTGCTAGCTAGGTGGCTATTGCGATCACCGTTTTTTAGACATCATAAAATTTCATGAAATGTCGACGTTTTAGATCATTTTAAGCAACTTTTAAAAAATTTCATTTTTTTCCGTCTGTATGTATGTGCGTACGTCCGTACGTGTGTACGTTGGCAATTTTCTGAATTAACGGCTCGACGGATTTTGTTCAAATTTTGGATATTTGTATATTAGGCACACTGAAACGAAAAATAACAAGCCGGATTTTTGAAAAGATAGTTTTAACTTATTATTTTTTTAAGACACTCTTCTAAAAGCACTATTTTCAGGAAGCTCTTCTGTCAAGAATTTGGCAACTGGTTTTTTTATAGGTACTTATATGTATCACCTCACTGGCTGCTACTTATATAATGCTTCCTCACATTATAAATGATAGATCAATGAGAGAAGCGGTTTAGGTTAATAAACGTGATGCATAATTTTTATCAAAGAAATATATTGAGGGAAAAGAATTTTCCTTTATAGCTAGATCTTAAACTATTTTTTTATATTTCCGAAATCTTATCACTTATTTATAATTTAATAATTTGCACATAACAAATTGCAAATAATGAGTGACGATAGTATTTTTCTATTAAGTACCGATACAAAGTATATAAAATAAGAGATTAGAAATCTAGAACGAAGTAAGTACTATAAAGTGTGACGTACACATTAACAAAATTCTTAAAAATTCTAAACTATTTTGAAATACATATCAGGTTAAGAGTATTCCACCACGTAAGGAAAATATACACATTTGTGTATTGTCTACGCTACTGCAATAAAATTACCCACAAATTAAAATCTACAGTACCACAAAACGTTATCAATAGATAATTAAAATTTCTAAATATTTCTATAAAAACTTTGTATATACAGTAACCACTACTATGATGCATATAATTTTATCCTATTTATAGTTTTATACAAAAAAGTTTAATTCTCAGAATCAAAATATAGGTACTTTAGTTTTTTCACTAAAAAAGGCGCCCTAGCAGTTTAATAAATTAAAAATTGCATTATTTAAAATTACAAGAAAGGCAATATGTACAATAAAATAGTACATTATCTAAGAGTTATTCGTTTTAGACACCTTTGATAACAATCGTAGCTAGGCTTTTATGTGTGCCTAAAATGCAGTCTATAGGAACGCAAACTTATCTATAATATTTACACGGCTAAGTACGATCATTCTGTGTTCACCGCCGTTTTCGACAAGCCACCGCAGCTACAAGCGCGGCACCACGACCGCTGCCATCCTCGGATAACATTAAATCAAACTGAAATCGAACCGATTATACACAAAATTTGTTTCTCAAGTTAACTTACTGTGATGTTAGGATTAACTAATTCCGAAATTTTTTCCATCATAAGATTGTGGAAATGTGGATGGTACCTGTATACTGAACCATCAATTCCGACTGTGACACGTGGTTCATTCATTTTGTTTAAAAGTGTCGCAATACCACACGAAACTAGATGAGCAGCTCGTTTTGATATACATTCACATACATATCGTACATTGACAAAATCTTGTTCTGTGGCATGTTTAATGTCTACAATTGACTTACTTTAGTTTGAAATATGATGGGAGGCGATAAATACTTACGAAGTTCTTCTAAAATTTCCTTACAATTGGCATAGCTACCTGGTGGATCGGACTCTATTTCCGATACATATTTCGTATAGAACCGCCCTCTAGTGAATAGAAGTTCAGATCCTTTTCCTCCAAACAAAAGTCCCTCCTTAGTAAACCTCTCCAATGCTAAACGCACTAGTTCGCCCATATACATGCCGGAAATCATTTTTTCGTGTCTAGAAAATTAACCACTGAAGTACAACTACTTGAGACAAATTTTAATAACTTACAACTGCTTGCCTGGATTTATGGAGAATTTATCAACGGAACGATCGTACTCACTTCGAGCAAAATCTAATGCACCATCGTCACCAAATGCGCCCCACTCTGTATTGACAAGCACTTCTCCAGAGCCATTGTTCTGGTCATCAAAGAGTTCGCAATTTTTTTGTTTTTCAACATAGCATGCATTACTACCAGTTCCTGTAAAGAGTATTGCGTTTTTTAGAAGACATAGTGATCAAATATTAGTTTCAGGTTTAAATCTGCCAAAAGTAATTTTTCGTGTTTATTTTTTTATAAAAATTACGTTCGAGCGTTGATTCAGTTGACATGAACTTCAAGCATTGTTTAAAACAATGCTTCAAGCAATATTTTAGAATTATCAATTTTTAAAACTTACCAACAATAAGTCCAATTTTGCAGTTATGATTCTTCCATGCGCACGACATGAGGGTTCCAGTAGTATCGTTCAACACGGCGGTAATGTCTATCTTAATATCCTTTTAATAACAGAAATATAAATTAGTATTAGTCCGATTCTAATGCAAAAAGATACTCACCCCACGTCTGTTAATGGCATCTTCTAGCAACTTTACTACATCATTCCCCACCACGCCCGAGCAGTTAAATCCCTTTGTCCAACGTTCCAACCGTCCTTTTGTGAGTCCCAATTGAGTGAGTGGAAAACTGAATGTAAAACCTAATGGCAATGTTTCATCCATAACTTTCTCTTCCTTCATGAATTTGGCCATACAATCAGCTATGTGATCAAAAAGCTAAAACACGTAGCAATTAATTAAACAAAAATAGGATATATTTTCGGCTTACTTGCTCTCCAGATCCCAACATAATATGTTGCGGAATTGCGAAAATTTTGGAACGCATTTCGAAGTGGCTTTCACTTAATTCAATTAATAACACTCTAAAATTGGTTCCGCCCAAATCTAGTGCCAAAAATTTTCCTTTTTCTGTAATTGGAAATGTATTAAAACGCGCTTAGATTTTTCTAAAATAAACTTTACCTGTTCCATTTGGCAAATCTTGAACGTACGTGACGAAACACTTCACAATGGCACTGTTATGTGTTTGCGTCCCGAGACCTCTGTTCAAATTTTCCAATAGCTTCTGCATGATCTCCTTGCATTGGGCATCTGTGTAAACCAATTCTCTGCATTGCTCCCGAATCTGAAAATCGTTCATGTTAGTTTTCTGTAATTTTATTTTGCATTAGAATAACCGTTTGAGTGTTTTCGCACAATAGAATAAAGCAATTCAATTTTCCAAGAATCACTGCAAGTGAGGAAATTAAACGAGGCGCCAGACTAAAGTGGTGACAGTAAGTACAGTAACACAAAGTTAATATTGGTTGTTATTTTGTTGAATCGTATTTTGATGTGTGAAATGGACTTAATTAGTACCTGGCCTCAGTTTTGCAATTCTCACATTAACTAACGCCAAGCGTGTGCAACAGTGCAATTCCGGGAATATTGAATTATGCATATACTATTTAATGCATTTATAAATAAAGTCGTTACATGGAGAAAGGCGATAAGCAATAGAGCAGCGCATATTGTTATTTGATAAGTTCATTAAAATATTTTGCAAATTAGTAAATGAAGGTTATAGGTTCTAAAGATTTAATTAACGTGGTAATTTTATACACATTGATACTGTTGTCATGCAGATAATTCGATATTAAAAGTGGGCTTTGAACTCCAAAGTAAGGCACTGGGCACACACTGCTAGTGTTCAACATTATGTGTGAGCAGAAGACAGTCCTCTAGAGAATACTTTTATCTATGCTCCAAAAAAAGAACTAAGTACCTATTTGAAGTAAACCTATCTATAACTATTAATTAATTGTATTTATTGTTTATAAATACAATGCACCCTACTTCCATTCAAAATAAGTGGTGTGATCACACAAAAATGTCCTGCAACTCTGATAAGGAATATTCTGTATGAATACTCATACTCAGTCTCAGTAATACTTACTTATAATTTCGTTTCAATACCATCATGTAAGTCATGAATCATTTATATATACTTGTACAAGTACAACTCTGTATAGTAAAGCATGTTATGGAACACACACACCAACATTTAATTTAATGAATGTCAAGTCACCTAATAGGCTAATATTATACAAACCTGAAAGCCAAGACAACGACTTTAATAACAGCAGCGCTTAGCAATAATTGACTGCCCTAATTCATAATTTTATATACTTGGTATACAGGTTTTTCAAGTCCAAGTCTAAAGTGGTTAGGTTTTTCATATTGTGCGATGTCTACAAGTAGGTAATTGAAAATATTAGGCACCTTTTATACTTCAAACAACTACTTAGAAGACATAAGGTATCATACATAACGAAAACGCGAATTCAAACACAACAAAAATAAAGGTAGGTAATATTCAACTAGAACCGAGTAGAACTTAGAAGTAGACATAGAGATTTCTTATGTCTACTTTCAAATGATAAAGTCTTCTGAAGGACGCCTAATTTTATGCAACCAAAATAACTTCTTGAAACAAATAAAGATCGGGCTGTCATATTAGTTATAAATTTGAATATTTTTGTTTTTGCTTCACAGAAAATAAATCTTTTAAGCTCCTTTAACTGTTACCGGCACTATACCAATTGGAAATATCAACTTTTTCTTTAGTTGAATACATCGCACACGAAAGAAAATTAGAATACGGAAGTCAAAGCGATAATATTCAAATTAATTAATACGACAGGCAGATCTTCATTTGTTGTAGGTAGTTATTTTGGTTGCATAAAGTTAGGCGTCCTTCAAAAGACTTTTTACCATTTAAAAGTAGGCATAGGAAATTCCTATAGGAAATCCCTATGTCTACTTCTACATGAGTATCACTGTATAATATGTTTGTTTGGAATTTGAAATAGTACAGTACAAGTACAAGCCTCGGTACAAGGTATAAATACGTACAATCAGATTGTGTAAAACCTGATGAGTGTCAAAAATTCGGTAATTTGAGCAAAATCTTTGATATCGATATCATAAACCCTATCTTTGCACACTAATCGCTTAATGCAAGACTGCCAGTATGGATTAATGGTAGGTACATCTACATAATTCTAAACATTAAACTGTGTTGATTTTTGTCACTTTGTAAGAGATAAGAATAAACTACTCTCCTTTTCCAACATGCCGTTTACGTTATACAACATAATACATAGGAAGTCCGAGGGAAGTCCGAGAGGAAGTCGTTATAGACAATAGGTATAAGTATGTATAATCATTGTATATATCATACCGGGTGAATATTTCCAAACCGAACATAGGGAATTAACATGGGGATGGGAAAAAGGTTTTTTGTAGATAGTTGCTCCCCATGTTAACTTAGAGGGTTTATAATGATACCAATCGCAAGAAGATTTTTTCTTCGTCTAATGATATACGAATTAAGGTTCATTTTCAGGTGTATTTCTCATTCAAAAATTCGGGCAATAAATCCACTTACCAAAATCATGTTAAGCCAATTTAATTTAATTTAAGCAGATTCAAACGTCGAAATCAATATCAGTTTATGACAACTGCATTAATTTATTTGTAAAATGCCGTTCACTGAGGAAAACAACGTTTACAGCGGAAATATTTACTCTACTGCGCGGTATTTGTTTTCCGTGCATTGAGCGTCTCATTCTGTCTGTGTGAAAACATATTTCAATTCTTTAGGAAATTTCCATGGCTTAACATGATTTTGCCTCGGATTTTGCTAATTGGACTTATTGCCGAATTTTCGATAAAATAATGAGAAATACACCTGAGAATAAACTAATTCGTATATCATTAGATTAGAAAAAATTCTTCTTTTGATTGGTGTCATTACCTATAAGCCCTCTAAGTTAACATGGGCAGCAACGATCTGCAAAAAACGTTTTTCCCTAGGTTTTTCCCATGTTAATTGCCTATGTTCGGTTACACTCATTTAAGAATGACCATTTGGATCAACCTAGTGGATCCATCAGTATCTCGATCAGTATTTTGAACGACCAAAGAGGGGTCCTTCGCACTGCTGTACAATTAAGGTAACAATTTTCTTGTATTTAAGACAGTAATAAACCGATCTCTATAAGAGTTTGGAGATTTGAATTTTTATCAGTTAAATTAGTAAGGAAAAACTCCGGAAAGCTCTTAAAGATTTGAGTAATTCTCTTTAACCATGTAAATAACAATCAATTTGCTGCACAGAGTGGTCAAATTCGTGGCTCACCATTGAAATCTCCGTAACGGTGAAAGACGCATTAATTGTAGGTTAAATGGAGGCAAAGTTACCTGATGTCTTAGTTATTTTCAAATATTTTTAAAAAATTGCAAATGTTTTTTTTGCGCGATCGGTCATTTCTGACTATTTACCATGGGTGTTTCCATGACAGTAGGTAGAATTTACCAGTTGCTATGATTACGACGACGTCAAAATTACTTACCGATCTAAAAACAGAACAGTAATAGTACATTATATATCAAGGTAGAGAAGTCCACTATTATTGCCTGAGCACCAAGATTACATCTCGAGGCGCTTGCGCCGAGGGGTGAAAGGTGCGAAGGCAATAATAGACTTCTCTACCGTGGTATATATACTATTTTTTTCACTACTAGCACTTGAAATCCTCTAAATTAACATATTATATTGATAAGAGAGTTAACGGTTGGACAGAATTGTTTTTTTCTTAATTTAACATGTCAATCAAGTACGTGGAAGTACAAGTCAAACAGGCCGTATTTTGTTCTGTCATTGAGATTTTTCAAAGAGTAATTTCGTTCGAATTTTTCAAAATGTGATAATTTTAGGTATGTAATTTCTCTGGAAATTGCGAATGGTGGCAATTATTCGTTTTAGAGAACTTGTCTAAACGTTCATTGAGCGAAATTTCGGGTTGTGTTTTCTAAAAGTGACAGCTCATTATTGACTACTAGTTAATAATAAAAAATTATTAACCACTTTGAACAAATGCCGAGAAAGCCTACTTTACAAGTGGAAAAAAGGTTAATAATCATGTCATCAGACGCTAGTAGTGAAAATAGTACATTATATATCAAGGTAGAGAAGTACAGTATTATTGCCTGAGCACCAAGATTACATCTCGAGGCGCTTGCGCCGAGGGGTGTAAGGTGCGAAGGCAATAATAGACTTCTCTACCGTGGTATATATACTATTTTTTTCACTACTAGCACTTGAAGTCCTCTAAATTAACATAATATATTGATATGAAAGTGAACGGTTGGACAGAAATTTTTGTTTATTAATATAACACATGTCAATCAAGTGTGTGGAAGTACAAGTCAAACAAGCCGTATTTTGTTCTGTCATTGAGATATTTTCAAAGAGTAATTTCGTTCGAATTTTTTCAAAATGTGATAATTTTAGGGATGTAATTTTTCTGGAAATGGCGGATTGTGGCAATTATTCATTTTAGAGAACTTGGCCAAACGTTTATTGAGCGAAATTTCGGGTTGTGTTTTCTAAAAGTGACAGCGTGACAGTTCTCATTATTGACTACTAGTTAATAATGTCCATATTATTAACCACTTTGAACAAATGCCGAGAAAGCCTACTTTACAAGTGGAAAAAAGGTTAATAATCATGTCATCAGACGCTAGTAGTGAAAAAAAATACTTACCGACGCCTTTTTAAAAATCAACAGTCTTACATTACATTTAATCTTTAATTATTGTTAGGTACAATGATTAAACGTACAATTTGTGCTGTTGTTTCCTATAGCAAGACGCTCATAAAGTCATAAAGGAAGTTCAAAGCTAGTAAACTACATCAGACACATGCACATTTTTATGAAATTATTAACTTCAATTTTGACAAATTAACTGGTTACCTAGTGATATACACCATACCACTTCGATCATTTCGATTTATTCTGCTCGTTAATTTCTTAGTGCATATTTATATTGGTTGCATAAATTTAATTTCGATCGCGCAAAAAATTTTATAAGCACGTCGAACGTTAAGGGTTACCGTTCTCAGACAATAATTGGAGTCGTCGCTTCGCTCCTCCTCCAAACAATTGTCTTCGAACGGTAAAAATCCCTTACCGTTCTCCATACTTAATATACTATTAGTCACAAAAAAGGGCAACTTTATCCCCATTTAACCTACACTGCATCTCTCACCGTTACTGAGATCCCATTGGTGAGCCACGAATTTGAAGCACCCAGTACAACACCATAAAATATTCATATAGTTGATATACAATACAGGGTGATTCTTTAGAAGTGATGATCGTTTGAATTTCCCGCAAATCAAAAAATTGTTGATTATAATAATTGATTTAATTACAGTACATCAATGAGACATCATGCATACACCAAATTGTTTACTTATTTCCTTGGCGTGTTTGGTGAATTTTAGCCGTTCATCGTTGATCTTCCCGTGTAATAAAACAGTCACCGCGTATCCTGACAGCATACCGCATGCTAGATTTGATAATTTTCTAAATATTGAATTACGAATTTTTCCATGTTTCACCACCTGCACATTAGTACATGATCGGGTAAAAAATGCCTCCCCCTCCCCTTCTTTTACGGATATACACGTTTTGAAGCTCCAGGAATCCAAATCAATAAAATTTCGATTCTGTCTGTCTGTACTCTCATTTCCGGCTAAATGGCTGAACCGATTGGAACCAAATTTGGTACACATGTTCTTAGACATATAAGAAGAGCTGAATAGTTTTAAGGGAGAATCGCACATGCGCAAGTGTGTAAAACTATCAATTTTTGGCCAGCAGGATTAAAATTCTTGGTTCTGGAACTACCTGTTACCAGCTAGTTGGGAAATGAAAATAGTTTCTTTGTGATGAGTGGACCATTTCCCTACCAATCTGTGAGTTTTAACTAAAACAACTTTTTTATTTATTGATCGATATTGATTTGATGTAATCCAATGTAGCAGACCAAATGGGTTAATCTCTAACGACTCGCCATTACTGTTGTTCTACAAAAAATTAATTTGTATTGATTACTTCCATTTGGAAGACACGAATTTATAACAACAAATAAAGGGGGCACAAAATACGCCGCGGAGCATAGCAAGGCCACAATGTAAAAACACTACGTGATTAAATTAATATACTATTACTCGGAACTAAGAGTCTACCTACGCGTATGGTGCCTGTAACAAAAATAGATAAAACTCGTGTTTTACATTCAAAATTATTTACGTAAAGCTCTCCGTCTACTTAGTGCTCATAAATCTCATTAGAAAGGTACTTTATTCGGAGATTTATTGTATTGCTTGTAAACAATTGTCTGGTCCTCAAGCTCAATCAAACAATTGTTGTCACCTGTGAACTTGTTTTCCAGAAAGTCCTCACGGTCCTAATAGAAAATTTCCAAGTAAAAACAATGCTATTTTTACGCTCTGCAATTACTTATTAATTAGATTAGATATCATGGTCTAGTATAAACATTGTAATTGAAAATTTAATGATGCAATAAAAATGAAACTTGCACAAGTTGTTGAAAGAGAAAAATACAAGCTATTATTCATCTGAATTATTATTGATGTGCAATTCTAATAACACCTACACTACACTGACGTCATGACAAAAATCTAAAAAGTAGGCTGTAGGCATAGAAAATCAATGACTTGTGGTAGACGATCGTTGCGTCGGTCGGTGGCGAAAATGCGCAAAAGCATACCGATGGCGGTGAGCCTATTTCAAAAATTATTCCCATGTTTTTACCCATCCTTAAACGTGCGAAAGGCCTCCGAATTTTAAGAAATGTACATTTTCTGCCACAAAGATAAGATCAAGGTACGGCAAGTGTGGTGTGGTCCTACGTCACCAATCTTGCCGACGGGCGTCACGATGTATGGGAGGGGAAAACGATTGGCACCAGGTGCAAAAAATACTAAAAATCATCTTTTTACATTGGTGCACGCAAGATACATTTTTGCACAATTGCGTATTGTTTAAAATTAACCCAGTAACTATTACAAACGGAAGTTTAAATAATTCCCACATTACGAAACATCCAGAGCGAACATTCCCAAGGTCGTGTAATGGGAAAACCCTCAAAAAAGAATTCTAATTAATAATACATTAGCGAAGGAAGCGCATATCAAGTATGAAACTTCCGGTCGATAACTTTCTATTGATTTCCGTTTGGGAGGCCAACGCTACACACCCTAATAACCGACCAACCCCGGCCAAGCGATTAAAATAAGAATTAAATTGGTACGTACGGTAGACTGAGCTTGTAAATTCCTTTTTAATCCCATCTTTGAAGGTTTGTTGCACTTTTTAAGTTGGTATAAAGTGGTCACTCACTTATCAAGTAAAGCGAAATTCAAATGAGAACTAAACGGTTGGGAAATGTCGGACGCCTTTAATAAAGTTGCGCTCTTTACGTTGCGCGCTCGCGCCAATTCGTTTTATATTTGTGCGGGTGGTGGGAAGAGAGGGGAATTCAGACGAGCCTCTGCACTGCTTCCAACGATTGGTTGTCCTCGAAGGTGTGGTTGTTGGCCTTTGGTTATGTGAAATTCCAGCTACATCGAGTTTTGCATTTTAAATTTATCACCATTTCTAGTCACGTATCCATTCCCCTACCTACCTACTTATGTGGAAACATAAACAGTAGGTAATCGTTATATGCAAAATCGTTTACTTATCACGACAAATAACATTAAGCTTATCTACTGTTCATACATAAGGGTCTAGTACAGTATACGCAAAAATGTTGGGTACCTACAATGAGAAAGGAATCAAAACGGATAACTGTACTTGTCATTGACAATGAAGGATAATCTGTGATCGTACATTTACATGAACGCATTTTTGGCATTATGTATAAATTCACTTCCGAGTGGCCATCTACGTCAAAGTCAACCTACAAATGTACCTATTTAAAATAGAACTGTAAACAACGTAAAGTGCTTGCTTTCACATAGGTTTTCGACGTCAGGTCATTCCGCAGGCAGAGCGCTACTATTTATAGGTCCTATATATTGTCTAGTTAGAAGAAAAGGATCACATATGACTATTTTGCATCGCACAAAAACAAAAATTAGTCAACCGAAGTGAACGTAGTACATACGTACGCCAGAATAATTTCTCATAGAAGTGTCACCCAGTTGCGTAACTAAAATGTCTCAAAGGTACGCAATGAGGACGGGCCCCGACTTAAAAGGGTCCCCGGTACAAAAATTGTAATACGTTTATAAAAAATTCTGGAAAAAATTGAAAATTTCCCGAACTCCTTCAATGTTACGCTTGTGTGAATTATTTACATAAGTATTTTACGTTACTAATGGAAGAGATAAAAAGTTCGTAAAAAAAGCTATTTCGTGTATGTACCTATACTCTGTGCGACTTCATTAATGAACACGCATTTTATTCGATTTCACCATTAACAGGAACACTAGCAAACCGTAGTAGTAGCTAATACTCCTCGCACTCAACAATTGCCGGATTCCCTACGTTTTGGAAGAGCAAGTAGCGCTCACTCGTACCGTTGAGTGAAGGATCTTCACTCAACGCTCGTACCCAAACTACTATCGGCATAGTAATTATGCTACCGGGAAGGTAGAAACCAAATAACACACTTAGTGAATTCGAAAAGCAAAAGAGAGTTAAAAGTTAAAAACGTGGTCACTCGCAACCGACGAAAAGAAGTGCAAGTGACAAATCCATAAACTGTTGTCGCCTTTTGGAAAATGCACTAAAAAGTGCCTACAAGTTTAGACAGAATGCATTAAAAGCCGTGTTCCACTAAAATTCATCGGATAAAAGAACCGAGCAGAAGGAAATTCTGAATCATTGTTCACATTATTTCTACAATATACAAAAATTGACAATCAGAGGTAGTAACTCTTGAATTTTAATAATTGAAATCTGATCCTAATTTAATACGAAATTTGATATGCTCAAAAGTAACCAGCTCAAATAGATATAAAAGCAACTCCACTCGTTTCCCATTTGTCAAAAATAACATTCCGAAGTCTCTTACATAAAGTAGGTACATGAAATACTTTGTTAATTAGCGGGACCTTCTGCAGTCCAGAAGGTATCTGAAGGCCGGGGATACGGTAACCTTAAGGCCGCTTTACATACTGCAATTCTTCATGCAAGACCATGCAATACGCAATAAAACTTGCCCAGAAGCATGCGCGTTTGAGAAACAGCTGATTCATTTTGGCAATTCACTTGCAATTGCAGGTTAGCGGTCGCGCGCGATTTTTATTGCACTTGCACGTGATATTTTGGGGGAAAGTATTGACAACACCAGGTTCTAGAATTCCCAAACGTTGAAACTAGACTTTGTTATTATTGTTTTTCGGTTAATTGGAGGTTAAAAATGAGTTGCAAAGGGTAAGTTTTGTATTAATAACTACGGCCCTTTTAAAGCAAAGTACTCAATTTGTTTAAAAACAAACTAACTTTAAAAGTTGCCTTAAATGCTTTTTACTATAAAGTACTTAAATTAACCTTTTTAGTGGCGGTTTTGATTGGCCTAGGGAGGCAACCACGTTCCTTATTTCGTTGTACGAAAGTTATCCGTGCCTCTACTTGCCTACTCTACCAGAGTACCACAATCGCAATGTGAGGTTAAAAGCGTTGCAGGAAATTACAACCGAATTCAATGATAAAAAGTTAACGGCGCTGAAGACTGAGGATATAAAAAAGAAGATACATGGTATTAGAACACAATTTATGACTGAATTATCCAAAATTAAAAAAAGTGAGGTATCGGGAGCATCGGTAGATGATGTTTATATACCGAATCTGTGGTGTTTTGAGCAGCTGCACTTCTTGCAGCAAGGAACAGCTGTAATAGCCAAATGAGAGTCAAATATGTCTCAAAAAAGCACAGAGAACACGCAACAGGAACAAAATGTAAGTTTACTGCAAGTAGATATAGTCTAATCAACGGGGTTATTAGTTTTATTCTTGTAATGTTAAATTCATATGTGTATTTATCCTCTTTAACAAGTTCCCTCGTTAAATATATCATATGGCGTTACCGTAACATTTTTGGATGAATGCTTGTAAGTTGGGAGGCTTATCGTTTCATAGCGAACAATTAATTAATTAATTGCATGTTTTGTTCTTTTGTTTAGGAAGACGTCGAATGTGTGTATGATGGTGATGTTGCTGGTGTAAGCGAGTTAGACCTAGAAGTTTTCTCTCCAACATCGATTGAATCAACATCTAGGTCTAGAACTCCGTCCAGAGGAGAAAGCCGCACCCCCTTGACGATTGAAGGACGAATCGGAACAAAAAGAAAGAGACACAGAGAAACAGGAGACAAAGAGACGGATAATAAAGGTATAACGGAAACCAAAACCCTTCTCAACACTGCAGTTAATGCTATGCAGGAATTTGTTGGGCCTGGAGTGCAGGAGCTTCGGCAGTCAAAAAAACATACTGTTTTTGGAGAGTAAGTTACTTTGATGAAATTTTATTACTGTTGCTGCCATAAACATGAAACAAGTCAATTTCTATCTATCCATATCTTTAAATATACAAATCATTATAATTAATTTTTTTTACAGATTTATTGCGGATGAAATGGAAAGCCTTAAAGATCAGGACATAATAGATGACTTGAAGCAAAACATTTTGCACAGTATCTTTGCTGCAAAAAGGCAAGATCGGGCACAACTGCTATGATATATAATTTAGTTTATTATAATGAAAACTTTTCATGTATAGTTTTGGGAACATGAGACATTATATTTTTTTTTGCGCGATCGGTCATTTCTGACTATTTACCATGGGTGTTTCCATGACAGTACGTAGAATTTACCAGTTGCTATGATTACGACGACGCCAAAATTACTTACCGATCTAAAAACAGAACAGCAATAGTTATTTACATATGAGTATGGTAAATCAAGGTTTACGTTAACGAGTGAGATGTTTACTGCCGAAGCGTAGCTGAGGCAGGAATTTCGAAACGAGTAACGTTAACTGATTTAACATACAAATAATGTAAAACATTTTATTTCATACTGCTCTATTTCTATTAAAATACTATTTTGATTAGAATGTTGTAGGTACATATTAAAATAAAAGCAAAAGTCGATCACTTGATTTGTTTGATCTGACAGTAGTTTGACAAATATCAATGCATACGTTTAGATGGATGTCAGTTGCGGTTGCTAGGCAAAATTTCCAGTCTGGTAAAAATTTTCAGTCTGGTAAAATACGCTTTACCAGACTCAAATCAGTCTGGGAAAGCGGCGATTACTAGATAGTATGAAATAAAAATACTTACCGACGCCTTTTTAAAAATCAACAGTCTTACATTACATTTAATTTTTAATTATTGTTAGGTACATTAAACGTACAATTTGTGCTGTTGTTTCCTATAGCAAGACGCTCATAAAGTCATAAAGGAAGTGCAAAGCTAGTAAACTACATCAGACACATGCACATTTTTATGAAATTATTAATTTCAATTTTGACAAATGAACTGGTTACCTAGTGATGTCACCATACCACTTCGATCATTTCGATTTATTCTGCTCGTTAATTTCTTAGTGCATATTTATATTGGCTGTACAATTTTAATTTCGATCGCGCAAAAAATGTTATAAGCACGTCGAACGTTAAGGGTTACCGTTCTCAGACAATAATTGGAGTCGTCGCTTCGCTCCTCCTCCAAACAATTGTCTTCGAACGGTAAAAATCCCTTACCGTTCTCCATACTTAATATACTATTACAAAACAAACAGGTGATTGAATATTACATGTAGGCATTGAATTTATATAGTTATAAATTCAATGATGTAGGTAACTTTTTAAACCATTTCATTTTGCCAAGGTACTTGTCCACATCCATTAAAGTAGTCTTTGAACTCCTCTCTAATGGCCATTGCTTCATTTCTAGGTCTACCATAATTTTGTCGACTTAATCCATAAACAAACTTGTAATTTTTGTTAATTTCAATGTCTGGCTTGTTTCCTAAATATGAATTCCCTGATTCTTTATGTAGAAAATTATGAAGCGCACAGCATGCTTGAGTAACTAGTTTTGCTTTTTCAGACTGTAAAGGTATCGTATTTAACAATACTCGAAAGCGATTTGTTACAATTCCAAAAGCATTTTCAACCACACGTCGAGCCCTGCTCAACCTGTAGTTAAAAATTCGTTGCTCTCTGGTTAACTTACGAAAGGGGTAAGGTTTTAGAATATGGTTGGAGAGAGAAAACGCTGCATCTGCTACTATGACATGAGGTACAGGCTTTGTTCTTCCTGGCAGGGGTTTATTTTCAGGAAAATTAAGGCTGTTGTGTACAATGGCTTTAAAAAGATCGCTTTCTAAAAAAACTCCCCCATCAGAAAGTCTTCCATTCATCCCAACATTTATATATGTGAAATTATATTTCGCGTCCACAAGAGCCAATAACACTATACTGTGTTGCTTTTTGTAGTTGTAAAATGCTGAACCTTGGTTTTTGGGAGCTTTAATAACAATATGCTTTCCATCAAGAGCCCCAATAACATTTGGCGCATCCCATAAGGTTTCAAATTCTCTAGAAAGTTAAGCTCTAGCCATTCGGCGGCTGTTGATGGAACCTAAAGAGATAATAACAAATAATATGCACATAAACACTAAATAAAGTATACCTTCAAATATTCATTTTTCAGTACCTCATATATTGCTAGGCAAACTGTTGGAATAAATAACGAAATTGTACTTTCTGAGATGCGATAGTTGTACATTAAGCTGCGAAAACTTTCGCCCGTAGCCAGATAACGTAAGGTTATAATTAATTTATCTTCAGCGGATATTGTTTGTCGGCTTAGAGAGTGTTTAGATATTCTACCTTCAAGCATTTTTAGTAACTTTTTAAAGGTTTTTTGTTCCATTCGTAGATAATTTGAATATTTCTGCTCGTCTGATAATATCAGTTCTTCAGTTAAACGAATGTTTCCCCTTCGCTGGTCCAACCAGGGTCTAACCCACCATATTCTTTGCCTTCTTTCCCGATTCCCTCCAATATTAATTTCATTTTCCAGGAGAACAGCGGCCGCTATTACTACACAAATTGAAGCTGCGACTGCCTTTTTTCGATTAAAGTGTCTATTCATTTTTACTCAAAACGCATTCAGAATTATAACAACACCTGATGAATTTTGAATAGATAAAGCTTTTAGTTCAATTTTAAATGCGAATGTTGGTAACAAACTATTGCAAAAAGAAAATTGCCGCGTGTAAAACCAAAGTGCAATAATTATTGCATGTACAGTATTTTTGCAATTAAACTTGCTGCAACTGTATTGCACAAAGAATTGCAGTATGTAAAGCGGCCTTTAGACTGAAGTTTTATTTCGGGATGAATGTCGCTAAGTAATTTTAACACTCCAGTATTTACCTATCTGCATGGACGAAACAGTTAGCGACATTCAAAAAAGGCAGATTCATACAGAAAGAATCGCTAATCAAACTAAATGAGTTTAAATGCATCTCCAGCGGCGTCTGTAGATACGCCAATGGTACTTGTTTGAAATTTTGAAATCAGACAGCTCAGAATGAACGAAGATACCATAGTGGAACCTCCAAAAGAAAAGCACAAAAAAAACGCTGAACAGTGAAGAAATAAATTGACTAATATTGATCAATTCCGGAAGCCTTCACAAGCAATTCCTGCAGCTATCCCTAACCACCAAGTTTTTTTTAAAGCTCAAGAGTCGAGTAACGTCGGAAGATCGATATGAGGGTGCTATCTTTATTAATAAATCCTTATCTCTGGGATGTACTTCTAGTGAACTGTCATTTATATATTTTTAAGATGGTTGTCATTAGAAATCCAAGTGGTTAAATTAAGCGTAAGGCAAAGAGCCCCCAAATATTGTTTGAAGACGAGCCCTTAAAATGAATTTAGGCCACTGGTGTCACTGTCCACCGAACATACAGCATAAGACGTACTTACTTAGCATACACTGTGTCCAAGAATGTTTTGTCGAAACGGTAAGACAAATTTGATTAAATGGAAGAAAAGTTGCGCAATCAAAGGTCTAAGAAGATAGCGGTTAGAAATCCTTCAAAAATTGTTTGGTTTTTGAAATATTTTGAAAAAATCCGTTTTTTCGATTTTGCGAACAATCTGTTCTAGCATTAATATTTGACCTACAGCAAAACCAATGACACGTGCTCTTTATGGAGGACTTAATTTTTTTATCCGACGTTTCGTTTTTGGGGAACCATCATCAGCTACATTTTTTTAATACGACCCTGATATTCCGAATTCAATGGTTATTGTTGAATTGCGATTTTGTCTTTTTTCGGGCTTAATTAAAAAGGTTCCTAATTCATATTACAGAAGGGTTTCAGTTTGATGAATAATAAAATGAAACCTCCTAACATATGAAGCTGTTCTTAATTAGAAAACATGATTATGAATTATTATACAGTAATTACTGTCCACACCCCAATATCACCAAGAAAAAAGTATGCTTGAAAAACAAATGAATGTGGTATTGTGGTAACGTAATGTTTGATTTCAGTTCAGCCAATCGAAAATGTTCTGTTGCGGAGGGTATGTATTTGCAGAAGTATCCTGAAAGGAATAAAAGACGGATTGAACAAAAAGTTCGTACCTACACCAAAATCAACAACGTACAATTAGGTAGTACTACTTGTCAGTGTTTCATATACCTAGTTAGATTGAAAGTATCAACAAATACATTGTCAATAATTGTGAATAAGAAAGCTGGCAGTGCACTTGCGCAAAACCAAATTTTGAAACTGGTGTTCGATTTGCTTTTACTTCAAGTGCCTATGTATCAAAGTTCATTTAAATGCTTTTGATTATAAGAAAGTTAGAATTGAGTACCTATGCGCAAAACCAAATTGTCATCCTGGTGTTTGATTTGCTTTTATTCCAAGTGCTTATGTATCAAATTGCATGTAAATGCTTTTGTAAATAAGAAAGTTGACACTGCACATGCGCAAAACTATAATTTGAAAAGGTCTTTAGTTTCACTTATATTCGTAGTGTTTACATATAAAGTGTCATCTAAATATCTTCATAAATAAAAAAAGTATAAGTATTGCACATGCGTTAAACCAATTTTTTGACACTACGCATGCGCAAAACCAAAAATATCGGTACGCACAGAATCCTTGCTTCAAGTCCTTGCAAATGAGCCCTATATCGCCTAAATCGGTAAAGTCGTGTAGAAGTAGTACGTGTGATGGACGGACGAACGGGCGGGCGGACGACAAAGTGTAGCCAATAGCGATCACTTTGAGGAAAAGTCTCACAACGACATTCGAGATCAATTAAAGTCCCGTCTCGTCTCGCATAGAAATACATCACGAGTCTCGATTCTCATGAAAATCAGGAAAAACACAATGTTTTGTATACGTGCAGCAAACACTTTTCTTGCAACTTCCCGTATCTAATCGAGAACCGTTCAATAAGTATGAGTGATGTGATAACGTAATCTATTAAGGAAAAGTTAAGCCAATTTGCGCCTATCTTGATTGGCGGTAAAAAATCATTAATAACAATAATAATTATTATTGGCATGTTTTTGTACAATGCACTTACATTTGTCAAATGGGATGGGATACCTATTATGGTATGGGATGGGATAATTGATCGCTTCATCAATAGTGATAGGTAATGATGTGGTCGATAGTTATATAGGTACATATATAGAAAAGCATATAGGTAGGTACCTACATAGACTTTCATTTCAAGACATTCAA